CGGGACGCTGTTTAATGAGCAGGGCATTACCTGTTGGGATACGGTTTTTCTGCGAGATCTGAGAATTTTAGCTTCGCACCGCTGAAGACATGCAAGTATGTTCCCTATCAACCACCCCATACGATGTCGCTAAATGCTTTTTATTTCTAGTAGCCATTCTCGTTACCTAACCAATGCTACCATAATGGTCGTCATAGAGTTACAACACGCGCATTTTGGATTCCTGGAAGCCAGAACAGGCAATCAAGTTTTGATTGCATGCCAAACAGCGAGAAACATTCCCCCCCCCTTGCGTGCAGCACGCACAGGCACGATGCGTGCGAGCTAGAGGCCGCCGTCAAAGGGCCACTTCGACCCCACCGCCGCGGACAATTTTTAAATTGCCTCTGTTCACGAAACTCCCTTTGCACACTGGTGTTTCAGACCAATAGGATGCCGCATGAACTGCCTTCTGAGGTCATATAAAAGCGGCGGGCGCCCCCATCTCCCACTAACACACACACGCTCTACCTTGACTGTTTTCGCCCTGCGTGACAATTGGAAGCGTGTTGTTCCCTGGGCTAGAGTCAGGCGATTTGGCCAACTCCCCTTGTTCTTGATTGTGTGTATCTATTGTTGAGGTTTGTTATTCCTTTTTCCTCTACTATTGGTTAAGTAGTATGCCTTCATAGTTTTTATCATTGGGATTTGAGGTAGGCGTCACTACAGAGTCAGAGGAGTCAAGAACACTGCAGAAGTCATGCAAGTATGTGCTCTATCAACCACCCTTCGATGTCATTAGATTTTATCTTTGAAATAAGCACTCTTGTTAAATAACCAACATTGCGGTACTGTTTGTCATAGCGTGACGACGACACGCTCATTTAGTATCCTTGGAGGCCAGGACAGATCTTTATTGCGTGCGTAGGAGCGAGAACCGTTTCTCCCTCGCCTGCAGCTGTAGCAATCCGGACTGCGTTGCTGCAAGTGGGTGTGAAAGAGCACTGACGCTGTGATAGCCGTAGACCGCCTAACCTGCTTTCTAAATGACTCATGGTGTATAACTTGAATGCAACCTCAGGGAGGAGGAGCAATAAAAATAGTGATTTGGGACACGCACAAGTCCTCCACCTGCTCCCCTGAATGCGCCCAAGAGCGAAGTTTTATCCGGAATGATGGATGAACTGTAGGTGTGCGTCAAACATCGAAATGCGGAATGCGAAATGTTACTAGGCGAAATGTCTCAGTAGTCAGTCGGAGCTTTCTTGGCAGTTATATGCTGAGATCTTAAAAGCTAGCTCTCTGCTGAAAGATGTCACTATTGGCTGCCCCGAATCTGCGGGCTGGCAGAAGAATTTGGTTAAGTGGGAACCGTTTTTCGGTTGTTTTAGGTGACAGACATATATTTTAGGTTGGTCTTCGTTTTGAGAAATAAACTGCTTCATAGACAAGAAGTATATTGTAACCACTTTTTAAAAGGAAATGAAACAGGAAGATTCGCTTTTTGGGGACATTTGTTGGTAATGCGGTTATGCAAATACGCGCATTCAGTTTCATTCGCTAATTGCATGTTGTATAGTTATACTAAGTGGAGGTATTGCACGCTGGAAAACATGGGAGGATCTCTGCAGGAGAATAAAGCTTCTGCTGACCTTTCCTGGGTCAACAAGGTTCCAACACTGGACTGTTTGAGAAGAAGATGCGAACACTGGGGCAAGACTGTTATTTGCCTGATGTTTCGGCAGCCGTTGCGGATTCTTCATCAGAGACATCAGTAGCAACTAGATTGTTTGTTAACACCCTACAAACATCGCTGGAAAATGGTATTTACGACTGCAAATGAAGGACTACTTCGGCCGTGACCGAGTACAAGCTGTAGATGGCCAACCCTTTACACCTTAGTTGCTTTCCTGTCCGTATCTGTCCTATCGCACCAACTGCCACGTTTCACTATCTCACCTGTTCAGTTCATCTGACAATGAGCTGGCGTCACCAAGTTGAGAATTCACGAGTATATCTCGATTTGAACGACGAGCTTTTCTTCTTAAGTATATCACCTCGGAATGCACTCAACCTTTTCTATCCAATATCCTATGTGTATACATATATGAAAGAAATGGGACCGACAATCACAAGGGAGACAACAATGGCCATTTTTGGTTTATCAGCCGTCATTAGCCATTCGTACCAAATCACAGGTGTGGATCATCTCAGGTTTGAACCCGCGACCTTTCGAAACCCGGGTGGTCCACACCTGGGATTGAGTACGACTGACTAATGACGCCTTATAACCCGATTTCCTTTGTTATTACAGCAACAGTATTATTTTTAGTCCACTAAAGATGTGCTGTAGGAAAAAAAATCGGTCTGTCAATGGAAACGCGTGCCTTGTCGGCAATATTGAGCTTTACCGCGTCCTACTGGATTCCATCTCATATCATTAGTTATCATAAATGGCGT